TGAAATAAATACAGGTAACAAACCAAACAGCCTCTGGGTTTAAACACTACACGAACGTCGGGTACAATTTCTCTATGCTCTTGGGAAAAGCACGGTGATACACTGATTTTTGGCCACGTGAGCCTTTGCCAAGTCCGGAGCAGCCAGATATGTGCTGGAGATCGGAGGTGGAGGCTCCCAACTTGTCACGCATTGGGCTTTGTTGTAGGAAGGAGTCCGGTTTCAGGAGGATTTCTTTCTTCTTTGTAAGAGTGAATCTTTTTGTTTTTTTAAAACCAAAAAAGGTTAAACCCCAAGTCCATGTTGGCAAGCTGCAAGCCGAAGAGGGGGGGGGTTTTTTTTCGGACGAGGCCCTTCAGAAGCAAAGGCTGCTCTCGCAGAGCAACCCCGGCAAACCCAGGACTGACCGGGGAAAGCGAGCCTGGCTCTTCAGCCAGAGACCCACCTTGTCCACGCCGGGGCCAGCTGGTCCCAGCCTCCAAACTGGCATCCGTGTGACCTTGGGACCCACTGGGGACAGCAATGTGGACGCTTCACAAACCTCCTTCCCCTGCCAGGACCGCCCCAGCTACGTCTGTCCTCGGCTGCCACAGTTCTCCAGGGCGCAGCCCTCCGCCGACAGCTCCGGGGAGACTCCGGGAGCACAGAGGCCAGAGGACGGCAGTCAAGCAGGGAAATCCAGTCAACGATAACAAGGGGAGAGTCTTCAGCTCGGACCAGCCCTCCAAAACTCATGTTTCCACTACTCGAATGAGAGGCAGCGGCTTGGGGCCCGTCAGCCTTTTGCTGCAAGAGAGAAAGGGTTTGTTCAGCCAGACGAACTGGATGGGGTTTGGGGGGAAAACCTGTGGGAGAGGGTCCTGCCCCAGCCCTGGTTGGTGATGGCTCCCCCCAAAACTGCCCGCAGGAGGGACTTCTGTTCCCCTGTACTCCCCTGAAGGAGGGATGCAGGAACAGAGAGCTCTCTGCCAACAGGCAAAAAATACAGTGCCCTTCCAGAAGAGCATCCCCGAGTTCAGCATCGTCTCCCAGACTGCAGCTCCCGCTGCCCCAGATAAGACAGAGACCAGCAGATGAAGCCGCTGAGCAGCCAGGCAGGCTGTCGCTGTAGGGTACGTGCTCCCCGCGTACCTGCTCACGTACTCCGACTTTGAGCGTGCTCTGGAGCTGTGGCCGCCCCGACTGACTTGCTTCTCGATCAAGTGCTCTATGCGGTCATGCATCTCCAGGTTCTGCAAGAGATGGAGCCGCTGTTAGTGATGGGGAGCTGGGGACGGGCACACCGATTGCTTGCCGAGGAATGCTCCACTATAAACTCTTGTAACAGAGCAGCTTTTTCTTGAGGGAAATGAAATCCAGCCCTACTTAAGGACTGCTCGCCAAAGGAGAGCCAGGATTTTTTTTTGCTGAACACCCAACACAAACCCACCAGCACACAATCTCTCACGCTGGATCTGTTTTCCACCTGGGTTCACAGCGGGCTGTGCTCACACACACCGTCCCCATGTAGGAATTAACAAAATAAGTCACCAAGGAGGGAAGACAATGCTAGAGAGGTGCCAATGCAGGTTCAGTTTTTCTCCAAAAAAGGAGAGGTTTGACACTTGTTACAATCCTAGAGGCTGGAATGCAATTTTAATTTCTGACACGCACGTACTCAGCTGCGGCTTTGTAAGCAAGAAGGGTTTTGCTGCCAGAGAAATGTGCCTGATGAGATTATTTTGGACTTGGCTTGAGCTCACAGCTGCTCCAGCAGCCCCAGCCGCATTGGAAACCATCACACCAGCATGGGGAACCAGCACAGCCCTCGGCGCTGCGGAGGGCACATTTTCCTACGCGAAGCGGTGTCAGTGACAGAGAAGGGCTTTGCTGCCGGCCGCTCTGCCCAGAGCAAAGCTCATCGCCGAGAGGGAGCCCAGTCACGACCCACAGGCATGCACAAACCAGTGACGCTGGCAGGTTTCAACGAGAGGCTGGGAGCAGACTCCCTGCACCCCCCAAAACAGCCCCGTACCTCAGCCTCCAAGTAAGCGACTCTCTCCTTGAGCTCCTGGATCATGGCATCTTTGGCCTGAATCACCGTCTTGGAGTTCTGGAGCTGTAACAGAAAAGTTCACAGCGGCTGAAAAATCCCTCTCGTGGACGGCTGGGCTGGAGAAATGTCGAGGCAGGACAGCAGCTCAGCCAGCCACCCTCCTGCCTGTTAACGCCCACAGCATTAACTCCAAGGTCTGCATAAAAACCAATTGAAAAAAGCCTCAAATTAAGTCTGAGAATTAAGCCCCAGGTGGAAGCAGCCTCCGCTCACACAGTTTGAGATTTAACTCTTTCAGCAGGCCAAGCCGGGTGTGCAGCATCCCTTTTACACTCCTTTTATCGCTTTCCCCGTCCCAGGGCAGATCGCGCCGCAGCCCTTTGGGCCGTCACCCCCGGGTCAGTCCCCGCCGCAGGACAGGGCTCTGGGCTGCCTTTGAACTTGCGTCCCTTTGCTTTGCAGAGGGACTCAGCCCCACAAACCAACAATTCTTTGCTTCCAAGCAGCTTAAGATTGATTTTTTTTTTCTTCTTTCTTCTCCTTTTTTTTTTTTTTCTTTTCCCAAGCCCGCTCTGAGTCCTCCCAGGCTCTGCCCCATCCGTCCGTCCCCCCCAGCCCCACTCCTCTCACCTGCTCGATCATCTGGCGGACTTTGCGTTGCTGACTTTTCAGCATGTCGTCCAGATGGTGGATCTTCTCCCGCAGCATGGCCACCTCCTTCTCCAGCTGGGCTGACCTGGGAAAAGGAGAGGACAGAGCCCAGGAGCCATCAGATAGCTTCCCAGAAAGGGAGAGCACCCACCCAGCTATGCCCAGAGCAGCTTTTTATCAGCCAGGTCTCCTCTACGGCCGCACAGGTCTTGAAATATTTTGACTAGACGCGGTAAGGAGAGGCAGAGACAAAGCCTATTCGAGCAGGAGCCACAAAGACGAGCAACCGCAGACTGCAGGGACACAGGCACATC